TCCACATCCTTGTCAGCATTTGATGTTGTCAGTGTTCTGGGGTTTGGCCATCTCATAAGTGTGTAGTGGTATCTCATTGTTGTTTTAATTTGCATTTCACTGAAGACATATGATATGGGCCATCTTTTCATGTACTTATTTTCCATCAGTATATCTCCTTTGGTGAAATGTCTGTTAAGGTCTTTGACAATTTTTAAATCAGGTTGTTTTTCTTATTGTTGACATTTAAGAGATCTTTGTATGTTTTGGATAACAGTCCTTTATCAGATGCATGTTTTTCAAATGTTTTCTCCCAGTGTATGGCTTATCTTATTCTTCTCTTGACATTGTCTTTCAGAGAGCAAAAGTTTTTAATTTCAGTACAGTCCAGTTTATCAAATATTTCTTTCACAGATTGTGCCTTTAGTGTTATATCTAAAAAGCTGTCACCATACCCAAGGTCATCTAGGTTTTCTCCTATGTATTCTCTAGGAGTTTTATAGTTTATGTTTTGCATTTAGCTCTGTGATCGCTTTTGAGTTAATTTTTATGAATGGTATAAAGTTTTTTTATTCATTTTTTTGCATTTGGATGTCCACTTGTACCAGCACCATTTGTTGAAAATACTTTTCTTCTTTATGTTGATCATTTTGTAAGACCCCATTTATTATCCAGAGTAAAATAAAGGTGAAATAGTAGTAATATAGAGATTGTAAATGTCATGAGAAGTCATGATTAAAAATAGAGCTTTTTCGGGGAGCCTGGGTGGCTCAGTTGGTTAAACATCTGCCTTTGGCTCAGGTCATGATCTTAGGGTCCTGGGATCGAGCCTCAAGTTGGGCTCCCCGCTCAGTGGGGAGCCTGCTTCTCCCTCTCCTTCTGCCCCTTCCCCACTCTCTCTCTCCCCCTCAAATAAATAAGATCTTTAAAAAAAATAAAAATAGAGCTTTTTCTCTAAACTACATATGACAAAATCTTTTATTAATTTATTATTTTATTGAACTATAGTTGGTATACAATATTATATTAGTTTTGTGTGTACAACATAATGATTTGACATTTGTATATATTACAAATGATCACTATGACATATCTAGTTACTGTCACCAGCAAAATTATTATAATATTATTGATTAATATTTCCTATGCTGTACTTTACATCTTTGTGACTGATTTGTTTTATAACCAGAAGTTTGTACCTCTTAATTCCCTTTCCATATTTTGCCCATCCCCCTACCCCTCTCCTCTGGCAACCACCAGTTTATGAGTTTGTTTCTGTTTTGTTTTTTAGAGTACATATAAGTGAAATCATATGGTATTTGTTTTTCTCTGTCTGACTTATTTACTTAGCATAATACCCTCTAGGTCCATCCATATTGTCACAAGTGGCAAGGTTTCATTCTTTTTTTATGGCTGAGTAATATTTCATTATGTGGATTTGTATTATATATTTAAATATATTTATATTTTATATATGTGAATAATCTGTATCACGACACACCATACCACATCATCTTTATCCATTCATTATTGATGGACACTTAGGTTGCATCCTTATCTTGACTGTTGTAAATAATGCTGCAGTGAACATAGGGATGCAGATATCTTTTCGTATTAGTGTTTTTGTTTTCTTTGGGTAAATACCCAGAAGTGGAATTACTAGATTGTCTGGTATTTCTATTTAAGTTTTTTTTTTTTTTTAATTCTAACTTCCTATAATGGTTTAATCCTTCAGAAAATTTGTTTAGTATTTAATGAAGCTAAAACTAATTTATTCACATCCTTCATGTAACACAGTCTCTTTTTTTTTCCTGGTTGAGTAATACTTCTAACTCTTTAATATTTTTCTCCTAAGTCTATATTCTATTTGTTACTGACTACTGCACAGCCATATAACAGTCCTTCTAGTTTTGCCATTTAAAATGGACCAAAAATAGGTATCATTTCTTTTCCTGCTGTAACAAATTGCCACAGACTTGGTAGCTTAAAACAACACCAATTTATTCTCATATATTTCTGGAAATCAGATGTTGGAAATGAATCTTATGGCCCTAAAAGCAAGTTATTGATGATGCTAATTTCTTCTGGAGGCTCTTGGGGGGAACCTACTTTTTCTGTTTTTCCAGCTTCTAGAGACTTTCCTCATGTCTTGGCTCTTGGCCCCACAACAAATGCCTTTCTTCCCTTTTTTTCTTGTCACATTGCCTTCTCTAACATCATCCCTTTTACTTTCCTCTTATCAGGTGCCTATGAATATTGCACTCACCTGGATCTTCTAAAATAACTTCCCCATTCCAGTGTCCTTAACTTCTAAAACTCCCTTTTGCTATGTAAGATAACATAGGCACAGATTCTGGGGAGAAGGATGTAGTCATCTGCTATACAGTTGAAAAGATAACAAAATGTATGTGTTTCACTCCTATTAATGTATTTCTTTGAATTTTGTTCAGCTGTTCAGTTAATATTTACTTTTTTGTAATTGTTGTTCCTTATTTGTCATTCCATATTTTAAGTTTGTAGTTTATTTTCATTCTTTTGATTATCATTATTATTTTATTTTGCATTTTTCCCTATTTATGAAATCTATTTGCAAAAAGCTAATGGTAGCAGTAATGGTTTTAGAGTGTTAGTGTTTTCAAGTATACTTCCCTATTAATTGGTCCACATTGGTGAAATCATTCACCCTCTTTTTGGACTTATCCTACAGATGTACATGATTATATGTTTTTACCATCATATCTTGTACATTTTAAGTTGTTCCTTATCCTCTTGTTATGTGATTCTTTTGGTAGCTAGGAGATGCAAAGAAGGAACCCTCAAGAAGCTTTAGGTTCATATGGGTGTAATCTTTTCTAGAACCCAGTCCTCATGAATTTATGGTCACAAAAGTGGTTGTTTTAGAAATCAACTTTCTCTGAAGAGATTCACAGAGAAAAAATACGTAACCAATTTATTATGAAAAAAGGCTCACTATCTACTATGCAAACCAGCATGAATTTATCAGGAAATCTGTGTGGATTTAGAACACAGGTCACAGATTGTTGAGTGATGGTGATATAAATGATCATTGCTATTTACTGAATTCTTACTTTATGGTAGGTACCGTGCTAACAGTTTTTCAAGTATTATCTCATTGTATTCAGAACAACCCTGACAATTTGGTATATTATCAATTTTTCCAGTGCTAAAACTGAAGATGAGAAAAACAACATGATTAAGTCATTAAGTTGAATCTGTTCTCATTCAGTATAATTACACTCTTTCCGTTATGCCATGATGATTTTACTTGGGGAGTATTAATGAGCTCTGACAGTTTGGTATATATCCTTCTTCATTACTTTTGCTGTGAACTCCACTGGTTAGAGGGGTTTGTCTTTTGAACATTGCTAGGTTTCTGGTAAAAATAATCTTACTCGGGGCGCCTGGGTGGCTCAGTCGTTGGGCGTCTGCCTTTGGCTCGGGTCATGGTCCCGGGGTCCTGGGATCGAGCCCCACATCGGGCTCCCTGCTCCGCGGGAGGCCTGCTTCTCCCTCTCCCACTCCCCCTGCTTGTGTTCCCTCTCTCGCTGTCTCTCTCTGTCAAATAAATAAATAAAATCTTTAAAAAAAAAATAATAATCTTACTCATTGGTTCTATTTTTCCCAAATTTCACTCAGTTCTCTACCTGAGTTCTCTTTTTGTTAGGATACTCACCTGAAACTCATTGCAGTATAGTGAGGAGATTATAGCTTTCATTCACTGAAGTTGTACCCTGCTCAATTTGATTGGAATTGAGTTTTCAAAATATTGATCAGCATCATATTTATAAACAAGTCTCTCTTAGTGGGCATTCCTTCTGCCTATGATTACTTATTCCATTAATATTAATCCGTGTAAGTTCCAATTTAAGGAGGTAACATTTTCTGATCTTATTCTCCAGTTTTGAAAATTTCCCCTATTGACAATCTATTGTTGCTTACATATATATATATATTTTAAAGATTTTATTTATTTATTTGAGAGAGAATGAGAGAGAGCACATGAGAGGGGGGAGGGTCAGAGGGAGAAGCAGACTCCCTGCTGAGCAGGGAGCCCGATGTGGGACTCGATCCAGGGACTCCAGGATCATGACCTGAGCCGAAAGCAGTCGCTTAACCAACTGAGCCACCCAGGCGCCCTGTTGCTTACATATTAATAACCTATTTTCAATGGTACATGGCACAGTTCTTTAATATATTAATGGTATATTAATACCATGTATGAAGTGTTTCCAGAAGGTATTCCTTGCCACCAACTACCTGTTTTCTTGTAGCTTTAATGTGGTTGAATTAGTTTGAAATTCCCTTTAGGGCAGATTTCAAGGGGTAAAAGGTCACAATAAGGCGACGTGTGGCCTATGTAGTTCTCTAAAGAAGAAAACATGAAGTCAATTATCTTTGTAGTTGTGGTATTGGAAAGATCTGGGGACTGGTGTTGTGCTCATTTCCTCAATGACAGCTCAGGCTTCAGTCCTTAGAACAGTTTTCACCAACTCTAAAAACATACCCCTTGTAATATAAACACAGCTTTATCCCAGGTTGTCACCTTGATTTGATTTATCTTTCCCGAGGCACAAATCTGACTTCAATTATATTCCATTTGAGATTTGAAATAAATTGAGATTCTGCTTCTGTCATATTACTTCATTTTAGGTTCCACACTTCTCAGTCTAAGTGTCTGTACTCTGTGAGGTAGATGGCTTAGCTGTAGAATAAAATGAATGCCGTAGATTATACTATATTTGAAAGCATCCTGAATTTGGTTTTTGCTTCCAAGTATTTTCTTCCATTTTGTTTTTTTTTTCCTTCCATTTTGTTAATGCTAACATTTAGTAACTTTTGTGATGACTTGAAAGCTATTTAGTTTTACAATTCTAATGATTCTGAAGAACTGTTACAAAGATGAAAATGAAATAGAAGCATAATATACCTATGTAGTTTCCTTTAAAATCTTATTTCTTAAAGAAGTTGAAATAATTTATGTTTAATATGTTCTCTTTCAGTATTGTGCTTCTGCTAAGTCAAAAACAGACACTTGAAGAGCTGAAACAGTCAGTCCAGCAGCTGAGATGCACTGAGGCAAAGTTTATAGCACAGAAAGAATTACTAGAGGAAAAAGTACAAGAAAATGATGGGAAAGAGCCACCTCCAGTAGTAAATTATGAAGAAGATGCACGATCAGTTACATCTATGGTAAGCCAAAAAGTAATCAAAAGAGAAACTTAAAAGAGTAGTATCTAGATAATAAGTGAAAACAAAAATTAATTCTTTTGCTGTGACAAATTATTACTCTTGTTAATATGCAGGTCCTATTAAACTTGTCTGTAAATGCAAAGTAGACTTGTCAGTCACCTCAGGTCACCTGGAGAACACTTCAGGAACCACCTGGTTCCTGAGTGAAGAGTCTTTCCTCTGTAGAGTCAGAGGAAAAAGCTCTTCTCTTGCTTTCAAAATTGAATGAAAGACTGCAATATTTTTATTGCTGGGAGACAGCAGGAAGGTAGGGTGTTATTCTTAAGATAGAAGTAAGAAATAAGGAGAAAGCTATTTATTATTATTTTCTTCTTAAGAACAGTAGAATCTTACTTACCTGAGATTGATGATGTGTTTATTGTTTGATATTACAAACGTTTGATTTTGTTTAAAAATAGATTTTTTCTTATGAATATTCTTAAACTATAATAAACACATTCAAATTCACCAACTAGAAATTCAACTTCATTTTATATAGTTTCATTAGCTGTTTAAGAATGCCTAGTATAAATACTTCCCCTTCCCTTTCCCTACCCTTTCTCCTTCCCCCTCCCTTCTTTCCCTTTTTCCTTCCTTCCTTCCATCTGAAGTTGGTGGTTCTCACCAAGGCGACAGTTTTGCCCTCCAGGGGACATCTGGCAATATCTCCAGATATTTTTGGTTGTTACAGTTGGTGGGTACTATAGTAGTATCTGATGGGTAGAGGCCACTGAGCCACTGATGCTTCTAAGCATCCTATAATGCACAGGACAGCCCTTGCGTTCACACTCCCAACAAAAAAGTATTCTACCCAAGATATCAGTAGTGCCAAGGTTAAAAAAGCCCGAGTTCTGTCCTTGGCTTTTTCTGTGAGTAGCTGAATGTAGTCCATAAATAGAACTATCATAGTTAATGATGCTATAGCTGATATTTTAGTCATTTTTAGCTTATGTGGTTCTAAATAGTACAATTTGATTGTTAAACGTATTCAGATGTCTCCATAGGAAAAAAAGGCAGTATTTGAAAATGTGATAAATGTGGAAATGAATATGAAGGATTTAAATTACTCCTTTTCTGTCCTACCAGATAATAAGGATTTTCCTATATGTACCATGGGCCCTTTCTTGATTCTTGATAACTATCTGGTATATGCATTTTTTCAGAGGAATTCTGAAGTTTATTCTTTTACTTGGGTTTTAAAAACCTTAGCTAGTAAATCTTTTGTACCCTGAGTGTAGTTTACAGTACTTCCTTGTCTCCATGTGGGTGTGGAATTGGTTACTTCATAGCTTGATTCAGTGGCAGACAGTTTTAGAACTGGCTGTCTAGTTTATTTTAATTAACTTTGTTTGCAGATGACCCCTATTGTCATTATTATTATGACAAAACAAGATACTCAAGTCACTAGATGACAGCATATCCTCATTTGGTAACTATGACTAAAAACTAGAATTTGAAAGTTAAAATATAACAGTTCATCAGTTCTTATTTCATTAAAGACTTGTGATCATTTGCAATTTTATCTTTCATAATCATTGAAGAAAAACTTTTTCAACAAATGAATAAATAATGTTTCAGAGAGACTGTATAGTACAGCTTATGAGAACAGACTGCTTTCGGGCACTTTTAAACTTTCTCTTATACCCATTATTACATGATGGTGAATAACACTTTGGAAATTTTTAGAGTGATGTCACATACTTCATTTTATTCAATTTATTTTAAATGGTTGAAATGTTAATTATAAATATATCTTATCTATTCATTGAGGCAATGCCTTTAGTCAGTCTTTAAGGAATTTACAATGGAATGCCAAAATATATGTAGTTTAAAGTAATAAAATAGCATTTTATAAATCAATAGGGCATTCCCCAAATTGATGTCAATTAATGAGATTTTACAGTATGTTTTATAAAACAAGTAAAAATACTTGCCATACAGTGTTTTTAAAACTTACAATACTCTCACATATATCAGTGAAATTTTTGCCTAATTCAGTCTTTTCAATTAATAAGAATATTACTTTTTAATTTATTAAAAATCAGTAAAAATATTAAAGCTTTAAATAGTTTTTTCCCAAATGACTATTTAAGGATTGTTTTATGAATAGCATTACAAGAAAAGCCTGAAATTAACTTAAGTAGTTCCATTGGTATTTCTTTTTTATAAATTCCATCCTTTTAAGTGTCTAAAAAATTTCTACAAGGCAAATTTAGTTGAATGTGTCAGAATTGGAAGAACTAAAAATTAAATTATAATATCATTGAAAATCATGAAAACTTGACCTAAATGTTATTTAAGAATAAGAGAAACAGTTAACTATTTTCTGTGATCCTAATTAATGGCAGTGTTAATCAGCACTCTTACTCTTCAGTGGTGAATGCTTTTGTGGAAGAGTGCCTTAAGGAACTGTATCACTAAGATGGGCCATAGATTCTTTTTTTTTTTTAATTTTATTTTATTATGTCCTTATAAAATTTTAAGGTGATTCAAATGTGTCATCAGAGTTAGGGTTGTATAGTCAGGTTCTTAGGTGCATTGATGTTTATTTTGGCTATATAATTCAGTAAGAATGAAAGACCATCTATTAATTTATAGAAATGTAAAAAAAATTGTGGAGGCAGATAATATAATCATCTCTATCAGGAGAAGTCATCCTCCTAATGTTGTGTTTTTTTTTTTTTTTTTAAAGATTTTATTTATTTATTTGACAGAGAGAGAGAGACAGCGAGAGCAGGAACACAAGCAGGGGGAGTGGGAGAGGGAGAAGCAGGCTTCCTGCGGGGCAGGGAGCCCGATGTGGGGACTCGATCCCAGGACCCTGGGATCATGACCTGAGCCGAAGGCAGACGCTTAACGACTGAGCCACCCAGGCGCCCTAATGTTGTGTTTTTTAAACCTATGTCTAATTTTGATCAAAATATCAAGGAGAAAATGATGAATATTAAAAATTACACAGTAATTCTCTATTGTCTGGGCCTAAGTATGTTTCATTTATTCATTCAAGAAATATTTATTGAGCACCTACTATGTGTCAAGCACATTTCTAGATGATTGAGATACGTCAGTGAATAAAACTAATAAAAAAAAAACCTCTCAGAGATTACAATCTGTGGTGAGTGGCAGTTAATAAAAAAGTAGTAAATTATATATTATATTAGAAGATGGTAAATGGCAAGGAATAGAATCAGAGCAGGGTAGAGGGAGGGTTGGGTGTCTAGAGGCTGGGACACAATTTAAATCCAAGTCAGGATAAGCATCATTGGGAAGTTGACATTTGAACAAAGACTGGTAACAAGGAGCTACTAAATCCCTTAATTTCTGGGGAAAGAGCATTTCAGTTAGAGGGTGCACCTGTTGCAAAGGCTATAGTGCAGGAGCATGTTGGACTAATCAAGGTGTGGTTAAGGAAGTCTGAGTAGAGGGGAAGATGAGACTATAGGAAATGAGATTGGAGAAGTATTAGAGAACAGATCTTGGGTCTTTGTAGACCATAATTAAGGATTATGGCTTTTCTCTGAGTAAAGTGGGGAGCCACTGGGTTGGAGAGTAGTAACAGAGGAATGATATGCTTTGACTTTTTATTTAAATGGATTACTGTGGCAACTATGTGGAGAATTACTTAAGGGGAACAAGGATGGAAGAATGAGATTATTGCAATAACCCACATTATGGAAGATTACAGTTTGAGCAAGGATGGTCATAGCAGGGGAAGTAGCAAGAAGTGTTTTGCTTCTGGATATATTTTGAAGGTTGACCACAGGAGATTTCCTATGGATTAAATGTGAGGTATGAGAGAACAGTCAAGGATGATTTTAACATTTTTAGCAGGAGAACTAGAGGAATGAAATTGTTTTGAGTGGAAAGATTATATGTAGAGCAGCTTTGAAAAGAAAGAGCAAGACTTCAGTTTGTCTTTCTAAAAAAATAAGTCTTTGTCAAAATTTGGTATCTGGGCCACGAGTTCAGGAGTATGATTTGGACTGGAGATAGAAATTTGAGTCGTAGGTATCAGATGGTATTTCAAATCATTTGACTATAGGTGGTCACCAAGTGAGGGAGGATAGAGAGGAAAAGAGAAACAAGGACTGAACTCTGGGGAACTTCAAGTTAGGTGGTCTAGAAGAGGAGGATCTAGTAGGAGACTAAGGTTGCCAGTGAGCTAGTAGAAAATCAAAAGAATTTGGTGTCCTCAAATTGTTCTGAGGAGAAATGAGTTCCAGAATCTGGGACATGCTGGGTTAAGACAAAAGAAACCTTTGTACTGACTTCTGGAATTTTCTAAACTTTTCATATCCAATGCCTAGGAGGGGAAATATTGCATGGAATGCAGTGTCTCTGAAAATATTGATCCAATTCCTTTTCAAAGAGTGTCTTGAAGGGAGCACAGTGCAATGGAACATACTTTGGGAAATACTGAATTAGAAGATGAATCTTTCTTATCAGATTGGGTTGTTTGCAGATTAAATGTGCTGATAATTTTAAAGGCATTTTGAGTTGTTTAAATGTTCTATAAACCCAAGGATTATTTTATTTTATTCTTTAATTCTAGCTCTGCAGGGCAGAAGAACCTGCCTTTTGGAGCTTATTAGGAAGATGCACTCTTTGTTGGCTGTCCTTGGATAATGATGGAAATACCAGAATTTTCTAATCCCTGAGTAACATTGATTTTCCTATTTTTGAAATTAACTAATCAGCATCACTTTCCTTCATGTTTGTTTATAGTTGTCTAGTTGTAAGAAGATAAGTTTTCAATCAGTATCTGTTGAATTGGACTTCCTTTTCACTCCAGAGTAATATAGTTGTTTTACTTTATAATAGCATGTGCTGAGCACCAAGTATAATAATTTTTGTTGAAAGAATCTTTCTTCTCTGTCAGATATATCTAGAATTGATGGCTCTTTATAATGAGTTCTTACTTTTTAAATATGGTTAGCTATTCTGTAAGATAATTGCCTTTA